TTTGCTTTGAATTCCAGGTTTAACAACAGAGTGCCTAATAAGATTATGTCGTGATGTAAACGACAATGTCGCGATTTTCACAAAATGAAAAGCCCCAAACTAATTTTCATATCCTCCAAAACAACATTGTATCAACAATAGCCTCTACTTGAGGCAAAAAAATGCACGGATACAGTTTCTCAAGAGCGAAGCTCGAGGAGAAATGAGAGATTCGAGGAACAGATTATGCCCAAGGAAACAGTTACGAGGATATTTTTAGTGCAAAATGGAGGCTACTGTGTTTATTATCCTTCAAACATTTTTTAACGCACGTGAAAAAATGTTTACGAATAGCTTACCGTTTGTTGCTTGAGATGTTCACTTTTCAATGTTCTCTGGTACGATTTTATGAACTAACCGATATGTGGCTGGGGAAGTATTCGGTAACGTGGCTTTTAGACCAATCGCACGCGAGCAAAAATATTTGATGGATTATAAGAAGAAATTATGGGACGAGGAGCATGATATGTAAGAGTCATTCGCCAACCGGGAGGTCCGTGTTGGGAAAAACTGTTCCCAATACAGACCAGCCTATGCTGATGAATAACAATTTTTTATCATATAAACTATTGTGTTATACAAGGATTTTTAGCCCTGAGAATGTCCAACACCTTCTTGCGCCTTTCATGAGCAAAGATCATTTGCCTCCATGGACCGAGGTAATGCTTTCCGCCGTTTTGCAGCTACCGGTACTCGTTCCAGTTTTTGTGAATTTTCTAAAACACAGAAGCGGTTTTGGGGATCTAGGCGAAATATTAAAGTTCCCAATTTTTCGACCAAATGTTACTTTTTTGCGATTTTCAAGCGTACTAAAGAGCGCCAAATCACTTTGGATAACTCGAACACCAAATTTACGCTCACAATTGTCGTAGAATATTTGCCTGTTTTTTAGTCACACCACTAAATAAGGATATGCAGCAAATCTCGAGAGATTCAAGCTTAGGGTTAGGGTTAAACCAGAGATGCTCTTTTATTTAAATATGCCGAAAAATTTATCCTGAGGATTTTAACAAAGGCAAAGAAATGCGCAAGTCATCAAATTAACTCATTTTTTTATATTTTTTTATTCAATGCAAAATTGACATTACAGCACTATTTCAA